CAGAGGTCATGACTGGTCTAGTGGATGTTCCAGGACTCACAGTGGTGGAGACCCCAGAAGTATTTATGGTACCTAGAACAAAGAACAAATTGAGAGTTAAGGACCTGATTGTTGTTCTTGTTTTACTGTGAAAAGTTTAGACATTCAGAAAATGAAAATGGAAAGTTATGATCTACCAGCTCTTCTCAGCACTGTGATACCATTCAGTTAAACCCAGGAGAACAAAGGGGCTCTCTATTCAACAGGGACTGGGCATAAGCTATTGGAATCATTATCTGGGCCTATTGTTTCCCACCTGAACTTGTGGCTCCAGTGCTGACTTCTCCAGGAGTGCTGGCACCTGCTGTACCAGGGCTTGATTCAGATGATGCCCCAGGTGAGCCTTAGATTGATCAAGTGGAAAAACGTTACACTGAGATTTACTGAAGCTATAAGCTTTCATTAAAGGACTATTGAGCCTGTTTACTTTTTTGATAGAAGTGATATATACATACACATACAAACATAAGTGGATTGTGAGATTCCAGATCCTCCTAAATAATACCAATCTTATTATGAATTTATTCCGTTAATGTTTTTCCTTTGAGAAAAAGCAATCTTTTTGATTTCTTCAAATTCAGCCTTGAGTGTTCTTGTCCATTCTCATGCCCATAATACACTTGATACGGCTCCCACAATTCCTTTCTGTCCTGCTTATTATTTTGTGTTTGTATCTTATGCAAATGCAATATCTGCCCTTTCCGAATGGAAATTGTTACTTCCTGCCATCAGTTCATTCAAAATTGTTCTTGATCATGTTTCATTACTTTCCTATTCCCACTTGTGGTGCCGCTGTGCTCACCCTAATGGTTGTGCTATTTTCACACTTGTAGTCCTGCTGTGCTCACACTAATGGTAGTGTTCTGTTCACACCCATGGTCCTGCTCTCCCCAAAAGAATAATGTTCAGGTTCCCAGTCACTCTCACTCTCACTTTGGCCCTGAAAAGTAGGCAATAGGAGTGTCAACATGTCAACTCATATCTCTCTGGTTATATTATTAATAGTCAGTATAATTGCAACCCTGTGTGTTTTAAGCTTGCTCTCTCGAGCCCTCCTGTGATACTTGACTCTTTATGTGCACTGGTGTGCAAGCCCTGTTGGAATGGTAATTGCAGAGCTATGCTCCCAGGGTTTTCTGCCTTCATCACCACTAGGTGGGGGTACAGTAGAACCTACTGTCACCAATTTTAAAAAGGGACGTTTAAAATTATGCTAAATACATTAAACCCATTGACCATTCTAGTTAACATACAAGACAGAAAATACTATTGCTTAAATTTATCAGATGTGGAAAGAAAAGCACAGTTCTGGTACACATTGGTCAAAATGTGCTCAAACCCATACTCAAACAGTGAAGGCCTATGTTTTCTACCCAAACCTCTAATTCTCAAACTATATGCAGAAAACAATAGTTTATAAACATTCCAGTCTGCAGTAGACAGGTGCTTTGAACATAGCCTTTATACCTTTATATTACAAATTAGGAATTGAGATTAAATAATGAAAAAATTTAAAAAGTCACAGTACATGTTAAAATACAATTTTGGAATAACACAGACCCAGATAACCTTATTTTTAATAGCTGTTGATGGAGTCCTTGTTGTTTTTTATGGAATTTTCATAGTCTCTGACACTTGGACCTTTTGAGCAGTCTTTATGTTGTGTAGTAGTATTGTTGAAATGAAACAGAGAACAGGCTGTGTAAGCTTCTATGGAAAGGGGCATTTCATGCATTTCCTGCTTTTTCCTCTCTCTGATATGATACATTAAAAAACATCTATCTTTAAAAATGCCCATGAGAACTTAAACAGGCCACCAGCTGGATCTTCCAATAGCAAAATTATACATGTGACATCAACTTTTAAAACAAGAAAGATGTGACCAATCAATGACACTGGGGGAGGATCATATGTGTCTGATCCTGCACTAGGAACAATACTGTTCTGATTATACTACCTGAAGTAAGGAATAGGACAGGGCCAGGATTCTTTGCTCTAAAATTTAGTTTCCTAGTGTGCTTCCAGGACTTGTGACACTGGGCCTCAGTGCTGTGGCTGTGCCTAGACTTCTAGCTAGTGAAGAAATGGGAGCTGAAGTCTCAGGAGAGCCTGAGAGTATAACAAAGATTTCCCATTTTACGTCTATGTGGACTTTGGTTCCTATAAGTGGCCTGATCCCCCAATCATTTGTTGCATGGGAAATGAATGATTACAGGAGATTCTGGTTTAGTTACACTATGGATATTTCTTTATGAGGGAGTGTTTCATGCCACATAAATTTGTAGATGAATGTCAATTGTCGTGACTTGAGAAATGTCTTGTTTGACGGTGACTTTCCCTTTGACAAAAGCCATGGCATCTAAAATGCATCCTCGACTCCTGAGTCAGCTTCAGGAAGTCGCTCTTTATTCTGTGAGAATTCAGTTGTTTCACCAAAAGATTGCCCACTGGCCACTTTTAAAGTGGATAATAAATAGGCACCATGGTCTATGATACAGTAAAACACATGTCCTGCACTCTTATCTTAACGTAGCTCTCATTGATTTATATTCATGTCTCCATTTCTTGTTCACAGGAAATTTAGCCAAGAGATTCATGTATATTCATCAGCTTCCCTGGATGTTCTCTTTTTGTGAAGAAAATATTTGTCTTTGCTAAAAATCATTTCTTTAAAAAGCCCTCCAGACATTTGGACCATTTTGTTTGCAACCCTGGCAGTATTTTGAAAGTTACCTTAAGGATTTTAGCAGTATGCAGACCAGCTATCAAGGAATACCGATATCATAATTCTGTGAGATTCTTCAGTATATATCTTCAAATTTTTCTGTGTTTCAACTTATAGCCAAGATTGTAAAATTAAAACCTCTCTATTATTCTTGCAAAATACTGCAGGCAGGATTCTGAGTTTGTTAATCCCCCACCAGTATTTGCGGGGTGTCTATGCAGTTTTCTCTGATTGGACAGCATCTAATCCATCCCTCCCCCAGTTACAGGCCAGCTGTAGATCAGCAATAGAACTCCTTCACCCCAGTCTCTTACATTCTTTTCAATTCTTCAGCATGGCAGAATACCATGGATGACAATAACTACCAGAAGAATTTGACACCTACAAGTTATTCGGGTACATATTTGGAATTACCAGAGATTCCTGGGCTTGTGGCTCTGGTTGCTTGTTCCTTGGGTGTGCTGTCTTCCCCATCAGTGGATGTTTTTCTTGTGGTAACTCCTATGTTAATTGATGAGGAAATAACTATTATAAATTCATTGGACAAATATACATATTCCATTGCCAAAAATCACCTGTATCATATTATTCCTGCTGATTAGATATAATTCAGTGTCCTAAAAACGGTCACTTTACTATTATACAACACATCCAAGAGTCAAATACAAGGATCTAGCTTCAGCAAACTNGTGTGTGTGTGTGTGTGTGTGATTTACCTGGACTGCTCTTAGCAGAGGTTATGACTGGTCTAGTAGATGTTCCAGGACTCACAGTGCTGGAGCCCCCAGAAGTGTTTATCGTTCCTAGAACCAAGAACAAACTGAGGGTGTGATTGTTTTTCTTGGATTGCTGCAAATATTTTAGAGATTTAGGAAATGAAAAAGGAAAGGTATGGTCCCCAAAGCACATTTCAGCACTGCAAAACCAGTCAGCTAAACCCCAGGAGGACAAGGAAACTCTCTATTCAGCAGGGTATAGGCAGGAGCTGGTGGAGCATCACCCCAGGCTGTTGTGTCCCACCTGAACTTGTGGCTCCAGCGCTGACTTCTCCAGGAGTGCTGGCACCTGCTGTACCAGGGCTTGATCCAGATGATGCCCCAGGTGAGCCTTATGTTGATCAAGTGGAAAAAAAGTTAGATTGAGCTTCTGTGAATTTATACACTTTTATGAATGGACTATCATTCCATAGACCACTCTGAATGCAACAAATGAATTTATCATTTTTATCGCTGTAACACTTGGTCTCACAATGGAAACAATGTGACTGGTCCCCAGAAAATGTTTATCATTGAAGGAATCACCTCCTTGCCTACCACCTTCCCCTTCTGCACCTGTCCTCTCTGATGTGCTTCCAACAGTGCTTCCAGTAGGTGTCGTACTTGTCCCTGTGGGATAAAAAGAGCTTACTGAATTAACAGTGAAGAGAACCATTTCCAGGGCACTCCATCATTCATGCAAAGCCTTAGTTCCTTTAAAGCTGTCCCTGACCACCTTTCTTTACTCTAATTTCCCACTCTACCTCTTGGAGAGAGTTAGACTGGATCCAAGTAGGGGAATGCTATGTTGTGCTTTTGGGGGCAGCAGGACCTAACGTTTCAGTCATTTTTATACTCCTGGTCCTGCTGTGCTCACACTCAAGGTCTTGCTGTATTCACACTCAACGCCTGCTATGTTAATACTCATGGTGCTAAGCTAGTATACTCAGACTCAAGGTCCTGCTTTGCTCACACGCATGGTCCTGCGGTGCTCATACTCAAGGTCTTGCTGTGCTTATATGCATGGTCCTGCTATACTCACACTCATGCTTCTGCTCTGTAGACAGTCATGGTACTACAGTGTTCACACTCAAGGACCTGCTTTGCACACACTCATGGTCCTGCTTTGCTCACACTCAAGGTCCTGTTGTGCTCACACTCACGGTCCAGCTGGGATCACAATCATGGTCCTCCTTTGCTTACACACATATAGTCCTCCTCACACTCAGGGTCCTGCTGTGCTCACACTCAGGGTTATGCTGTGCTCTCATGCATGACCTGAAGTTCCCACTTACTCCCCCTCAATTCCCGACTAACTAGGTAGTCGGGGCTTCACCATATACCTATTCCTGTATGGGAAATTAGCAAATGTGGGCACAAGGGCACTCTTGTATATTTGTATACATTCATCATATCTCCTACAACCCACTGTGATACTTTCCCCATCATAGACATAGATGATGAAATTTTGACCTACCTGACTCTCCTGGACTGGTTATTCTAGAAATGTGTTCTCCAGGTGTGCTGTGTTCTTCACCGCTAGGTGTGGGTGTGGTAGGGCCTGCTGTTACCAATTAAAAAGAAAAGAAAATGGCATTTTCAATTATCACAGATGTCATCAACCCATTGAACATTCACATCAACATCCACAGAAGAAAAACATATTTTATCATTTGTGGTAAAAGACCTGTACACATTTATTTATAGTAGGGTGAGAACCAAGCCCAAGCAGTCTAGGCTTTGAATTTCTACACAAACTTCTAATTTAAAAACTCTGTGCAACAAAATAATTTCGAAAGCATTGCAATCTTTAGAGGATGAAGGCTTTGAATATAACCTTAATAGTTGAATTCAAAATTAGATTAAATAATGAAAAATTTTAAATTTTCAGTTTACGTTTAAGACATCTTAATGGTCTACCTTTCTACCGTGTTTACAACAGCATTCGTGTTTTCCTGCTTGAACCAATTTCAGGCACTCAGGTACACGTTTGCAATTACCTGAGGTTCCTGGGCTTGTAGCTTCAGTGCCTTGTCCCCTGTGTGTGCTGCCTTCTCCTTTAGTAGACACTGAAGTAGTATGACTTCCTTTGCCTATGAATGAGAAAATTGCAATAGAAATTGCCATAGACACAAATATAATGATTGATATGGTTTAGATCCTCTCTCTCTGACCTTTCTGTTCTTGTGTATTAGATGTGATTCGGGCACTTACACAAGGTCACTGACCTGGGACGACCATGTACACATGCAGTTTAAGCATCTACCTCCTGCTTTACACCTTAAAATCAAGTGCTAATTAGTAACATACCATTTTCAAGCAATGATATATTTATGTTTTGAAATTGTGATCAATGTGAAGAGAAATGAAAAATATTTTAAAAAATCTCAAGTCTAAGCAAAGTCTTTTTTTCAACAGAACAACCACACTTCATTGTGTCATCTGCTGCTCTCCCTGGACCAGGAGCTCTATTTTACACCTCAGCACATCACCCCTGTAAGAAGCAGTGTGGGATCACTATCTGCTGGGGACCAAACTTTGTCTCTCACACTAGTCTCCACTGAAAAGGCTTGATAATCAAAGGACACAAGGAAATGCGTTCTTCTTGAGGCCCCAGTATCTGTGATTCAAGTGTAGTTTCATGGCTAACACATTGAAATTCTAGTCTCTTAAAGGATGCTGGATTACTAGTTTTCTTGAACTATAATCCTCTGTGTGACAATCTAAAGGATAATGGTCCTCAAATGTCTGCTCATATAATTGAATACTTGTTCTCCAGTTTATTGAACTGTTTGGGAAGGATTTGGAGATATGACTTTGTTGTAAGATGTCTGGCCTCATTGGAGAGCACATGATTTGTTGAAGAGATGTGTGACTGTAGTTGAGTTATCAGATATCTAAAGCCCATGCCAGGCTCAATTTAATTCTTTCTCTACCATCTGCACACTGAACAGGAGGTAAGGCTTCAGCTACTGCTCTAGTACTATGACGGCATGCCGGCCACCATGTTTTCTGCTATGCTGACCATAAACTACACCACTAAGTCAGTTTACAGGCCCAAAATTAAATGTTTCCTTTTATAAGTATCCTTGGTCATAATGTTTCATCACAGCAATAGTTACCCTAAATAAGATACTGTATGTTTTTCACAATTATTTTATTGATTAATATTATCTTGCAAAGTGTAAGCCATACATTTCAAGTCAAGACTGCCACTGCCTGGCTGCTCTTACGTACTGATATGTACTCACAGAAATAACATCACCTATCAATTGCTGTTGAAAAACTTACAAGGTCCTAGTGTAAGGTTGATAGGAGAACCCCAAAGTGTCAGGTAGGTAAATCATTATTTTACTAACTTGTTTTTATCATTTTCCTGTTTACTTAGTTTGTTTACTTTCTCTAAATGCTGTCATTGGTATTTTCCTTCCCTTTGGCTATTGCTGTTGATACATCTGAAAATTCTTGATTCTAATAAAGTACAGAAAATATAATTAGCTACACAATATCTACATGACCATTTCCAACACTCAAGGAAGGATGTGAATGATATTATAACATGATGCCTTAATGCAACTGTGAAATATTAAAGATATTATAATTCAATTAATATAAGCAATGACCAAGTGCTGCAGAAACAATAATATCTGTTCAACATTCACCTATAACAGACATGGGTCAGCATTCTCATTCACAACTGAGTTTACCTTCTGTGGGCCCAGAACTGGTAAGGCTGGACTGAAGAATTGTTGTGGTGCCTGGATTTCCCACTGAGGAGGTGATAGCAGCTGGTGTTCTAGAAGAGCCTGAGAAAAACATCCATCCAAGGGATGTCTCATTAAATGTTTGGATGAACTTGGTTAGCAATAGGGGGGGCGACCTTTTCATTTTATTCTTCATATAGAAAAGTTCCTAAAATTTCATTCAATGGTGATAGTCTGAAATATGTTAGTTTTCTATTCTGGCACTGTTTTTACACAGAAGCAGTTAAGGATATGGGAGAGGGTCAACCAGATGTCCATACATTTGATGCCGCTCCTGTACATCAGGTATGAATCACGGTGATGACTCCACAATCCCGAACACCACTCGCTCACCTGATTGGTCTGCAGGCTGGGTGGATCCACTGCTGGAGGCTCTAGTTGTTTCACCAGCTGATGGTGCAGTGCTCCCTTTCAGAGTAAACAGAAATGGACATTAGGACCTCTGATAACCGACATCATGCCATAACGTTCTCTGATTTCACATCGCTTTCATTTATGTCTTTCTCATTTCTTCATTTCCAACTCAGCATTTTCAAAATATAATCATAAGGTAAACACAGTTATTAGAATAATTGTGTATGCTCCATTATATAAGGGATGCATTTTAGCTTGCAATTTGTTTATGTATTTAATGTCGCTAAGCCAAGCTCAGTGCTTCTGGAGTGAGGTTGCACAATGGAATTAATTGCCCCCTTTAAAGTCCTTCCTAATACAGATATTAGCTCAATGAACCCAAAAATTCCTCCATTTAGATCCCAAAACTGTCACTAGTGAGTCTCCTATCTAAGCTCTATTCAAAGTCATAGCCCCATTTTAATCGCCTAATCCTTATAAGCTGTGATGATTCTTAAAAACACTGTGGTCATGTGAACACTCAGGATAATTAGAGAAATATGAACTACCCCGTATCTGTCATTTCAGTTTTCATGCAGCAGCCCTAATAACATCAATTTCCTACTGTTACTTTCTATTGGGAAACAATAACCACACACAGAGAATGGGCTCCATGCACACACATCAGTCAGACATTTCTCCCTCCTTTACATACATTGCTCCTAGCCGATGTTGTGACTGGTCTAGTCAATGTTTCTGGATTCATGATGGTGGAACTATCCAGAAATGTATATAGTTCCCAGCACCAAGAACAAATTGGGAGTTGAGGATGTGATTGTTTTTTTTCCGATTTTGTTTAGAGTGTTTAGGGATTCAGGAAATAAAAACGGAATGCTATGATCTCCCCAGCACTACTCGATACTGCATTATCATTCTGGTAAACCCCAAGAGGACAAGGGAGCTCTCCATTCAGCAGGGTACAGGTTATTGTGTCCCACCTGAACCTGTGGCTCCAGTGCTGAGTTCTCCAGGAGCTCTGGCACCTGCTGTACCAGGGCTTGAGCCAGATGATGCCCCAGGTGAGCCTTAGGTTGATCAAGTGGAAAAATGTTAGACTGAGATTCTGTGAATTTATGGCTGTTCATAACTAAGCCTTTTTCTTTTTTCTTAAAAATAATATGTCTACATACAAACACATCTGGATTGTGAGGCTCCAGATCTTGGTAAATCATAATATTCTTATTATGAAATCATTCTGTTAATTTTTCTTTTGAGAAATAGGAATCATTTTGATTTCTCAACATTCATATCTTTTCTATTCTCATGACAAAGTTATCACTATTGCTTCCTTTCATGCATGCTGTTTGTCTTTATAACTTATGCAAACACAATATCTGCCCTTTCAGAATAGAAGCAGAAAGCGAAGAATAAAACCTTCCTGTGGTTCCGCTATCGCTTGCAGCATCTCATAAGCTACTCAGGACTCAACAAACACTGTTTGATTCTTTCTCATCTCTGGAGCACCTGGCCTTACAATGGAAAAATATGTGACAAATCTCCATGAAAACATGAATATTTAATGGAAACTACAATTTGGACACTAAGTTCTCAGGTCTCCTCCTTCCTATCCCCTCCGTCTGTCCCTCAGTACCTGTCCTTCCAGATGTGCTTCCTACAGTGGCTCCAGGAGTAGCTGTTTCTCCATCTGTGCCTGTGGGATGAACATTGCTTAGGCATCAAACAGAAAGGAAAGCACTCTTCAGGAGGTTTAATTCTTCTTTCCTATCATCCGTTCATTCAGAATTGCCCCTGATCACGTTTCAGTAACCTCCTATTCCCACTCATGGCACCGCTGTGCTCACACCTATGGTTGTGTTATGTTCACACTCATGGTCCTGTTCTGCTGAAAAGAATGTTCGGGTTCCCACTGACTCTCAGTTTGTCTCTGAAAACGAGGCAGTGGGAGTGTCAATGTGTGCTCATTCCTCTCTAGTGATATGAATGGTCAGCACAGCTGCAACTCTGTGAGCTATCAGCACGTTTCTCACAATCCTCCTGTGATAGTTAACTCCTCATCGGCACTGACATTCGGGCCATGCTGGGATGGAACTGCGGAGCTGTGTTCCCTGGGTTAGCTGCCTTCATCACCAGAAGGTGGGGGATATGGTAGGGCTTGCTGTCACCAGTTTAAAAAAAAAAGTGACCTTTAAAATTATGCTATTTTGAACATTCTCATCAACAATCAAGACAGAAAATGCTATTGCTTCATTTTATCAGATGTGGGGAAAAAAAGCACAATCCAAATACTCTTAGATTAATAATCATTCTGAAATGCATGTCAGCTAGTACAGGCCTATATTTTCTACCCAAACGTCTGCTTCTCAAACTATGTGCAGCAAAACAATTGTTTATAAACATAGTCTTTATAATATAAATTAAGAAATTAGATTAAATAATGAAAAAAA